GGAAATTATTATCTGCTTGGACATTCGTTTAAATGTGCTCGTGTATGGTCAATGAACTGTAAGTTCATTGATGGTCCACGAGCTAAAAAAGTGTTTGCGAAATGTAAATTAATTTTGTAATAATTGAGAATTAGAATTATAACAAATACGAGTTTATTTGCAAAATTAGTATGAGAGATCTTATCTTGCTCGCGCGTAGAAAATGTCCAAATGCAGTTTTCATGGAATGAAGAAAGAAGAGGCTTAAGGGTTCATTCTGGTTTATACGCCGAAAAAAAAGGCTATTTTCACGATTTTTTGTTAGGCTTTGTTGGATACATATACATATGAAAGTTGTTGGGTATGATAAATACACTCTAGAAGTACTAGAAAATTTTTTTTTTAATTGTTTTTAACATTTTTTGACATTCAAAATGGCTGACAAACGTGAACCCTTCGAGAGTAGGTATGCTGTTGGTGGGCATCGAAATTTGAGAAAGGGTGATCTAAAACAAAAAAATTAAACGGTTTTAAATTCAGTATGACAATGGCTATCGGGTATGCTAAAACTATCAATTTTTATGAAAACAAAACAAAATTACGGCCATTTTTCGAAAAATAAAAAAATCTACGATTTTTTTCGCACTTTTGTAAAAAAAAAAATAGTAAAAATTAAAATTTTGACTTGGTTGTAGCATGCGAGATAGCCATTCATGTTTAGAGTATGTGGTTTAAATTTCAGAAGGATCGGTTGAGTAGTTTCGGAGATATCATGCCCGCCAACCGAGAAAACGTTGTTTCGAGAAAACGCGTTTAACAAATTTTTAAAAAGTCTGACTTTACCTTATTCTGCGATGCCTGCACCATATAGTATGCCTTCTGCTTCTTCAAAATACTCATTTTCTTCCATTCTAGTCTTTTTTCGTTGTGTCCTGGCCTCTTTTGAAGATTCTCCGCTCAAACGATTGACTGAGTGCACACGCGTGTTGTCGCGATTACTAGCGTAATTGACTGCGATAGGGCCAATTTTTATCCCCAAAACGTGCATTATTTTCAGTATTGGATCAAAACCTTCGTTGAATATACAAGCTGCCAATTTACAAGCTATTTCAATAATTTTTTTTACCAATTAATAGGTGTTTAGGCACCATAGCCCAAACGCATTTGTTGAGAAGCACTCATTATTATTTTGAGTGTGGTTACCTAAACATCTTTCAAGTAATTCTGTTTTTGTCAGGTCAACATCAACCTTTTGTTTTTTGCAGCTATATTCATGCAGAGACATTTCCACTTACACAACCGCAAATGGTTTGTCCCCTCTCTCTGTAATATCTCTATGTGTTTGGGTCGCAAAATAATATACTCAGACTGCTCGGATCGTTCTAAAATTTTTATATGATAATTCTACATATGTCTACTTTCGAAAAATGCAAAAAAAAATTGATTTTTTTAAAATGATAAACCAGAATGAACCCTTAATGCCGAAGAGGCCCCCACTTAAGTGTGGCTCAAGAGGGCAACTACTGAGGCTATTGAGTTATTTTCGAAGGTTCAACAGCAAGTTCGAACCTTTAGAGAATGGCTCTCTAGTCATATTTTATATTTTATTGTTTTACTTTTTTTTTTGCTTGTCGTTAATTTCTAGTTGTAATTGGAGATGATGGACCATTCCATCTTCTTGGGACACCAAATGCGTGTCTATATCGTCAAAAAGATGCATATGTGTTTAGTTAGTTCGAGTCAAAATATTTAAATTCCTTTTTTATTACATTTTGAAACCTAATTATCGTCTTTTAATATTAAAGTAATCTCTCTTTTTTTTGTCATTAAGATTTTTCACTTTGATCGCATTTTATTAAATTTGTAATTTATTCTTTTCTATATATAATGCAGTTTATATAAAATTATTAATTTTACAATAATTAATAGATATTATTTTCTCTAGTAATTTAATACTTGTACTTTTACTTTTTTTTTTTTTTTATTTTATGTAAATTTCAAATCACGCGTTTAAATTCAATTTTATTTTTTTTTCTTGATAATTTTTTTAATTCCTAATATTTCACTATTCATAATTAAACTAGAAATCTTGTTGTTTTTATTAATTTTATTTCGAAAAAAATGAATTTTATGATTTATTTCATATTACAATTTTTTATATTGTTGAATTAATCGTAAAATAAATTTTTAAATATTGTCTAAAAGTGATTTAAGAAAAATATGATATAAAATATAAATCGTTAAAAAAAATATTACGATTGATAAGAGAAATTATTAACAAAGTCTTTTTTAATGCAAATATCTAACGGAATATTCTATTATAATTAAAAAGAAAAAAACTAACGTAACAAAGTTAAAAATTTTTACTTTTAGGTAATATACAAATTAATTATAGAAAAAATTATAATATAAGACAAGTTATAAATAATTGAATTTTATTTTGAACGAAGTAATGAGAGGATTATTCGTAAGTTTGTATATAGAAAAAACAAACAAAAAACAAAAGGAATACAGAAAATCAATTCGAGATTTGTAAAAGTTTATTGATCGTCGTTGAATTCTCGGTGGAACGCATTATTTCGATCATTGCGAACGAACTTAAGAGCTAAGCGTTTAACGTTAGAAAAATTTGCGATAACTGGAGGATGATTTATATTATTCATTATTATATTTCTTTCGTTTATTTTTTATCCGATGATTTGATAAAATGAAATGATAGTGTAAGATTCGTTCAATCTTGATTGTATATTTTTATTATTTTTTTGTTCTTCTCCAAGTTACACGCAAATTGTTTTTATTTCGTAACGCGTACGAGAAAACTCGCTTACAAGATAAGCTACTTTGGCCTTTTGTCAGGCTAACAATAATCGTGTGCGATAACAACGCATTTTAACAACACGCGAATGCGCCTTCGGTCGATCGAGAATACGAATGCTTTACGTAAGTTGTATACATGCTTTTTTTTTCTTTTTTGTACAATTGTAACATATTACATGATAATGAAAAATGTAAATTTGTTTAAAATTTGAAATTGAATAGATAGGCTTGACTAGGTTTTGTAACCTTTGACTCGTTACAATCTGACGTAATTATTTTTTAAATGTAAAACGTTAGGAACGTCATGTTTATACAATTATATGAAAAATTGTATATACTACTTTTATATATATATATATACGTGCATAAACGTTTAAATAAATTGTATATTACTTATTACGTTGGTTTCTTGCAATATAAATATTAAAATATATGAATTAATATTTTTTTTTCTTTTGTCTAATATGTTTAACGATTTTTTATAATGATTGTACGATAGAAAATTATGTTTAAAATGTAATATAAAATTTTCAAGGATTTCAATTAATTCTATTTTTTGTTTGATGGTTTTTAAAAATTCAATGATTTTCTTTAATGATCATTAAATTAAAAAAAAGGAAGAAAATCACGTTTACAATACAACAATCGCATTCTCAATGCCGTGATACATTGTCTCTTAATTACTCTTTTATCTCGTATCTGTTACTTGCATCATAACGTTTCCACGAATCATGTTTGCTTACATTCATATACGTATGATTTATGGAAATAATTCGTTTACTTAATTAAGAAATTAAAAAGAGTTTAAGAGTGGAGTATAGAAATAAGTGACTGTAGCTAAGGGTACGTTCGAATTAGGTAAATATTTTATAATTGAGGAGAGTATATCTCTATTCGATTGATAAACTCTATGAACGACATTCGTCTTATTTCCTAAAGTTCGATATCACTGTGGAATTAAAAAAAAAATCTATCATGTTCTGTCATATTTTGTTTAAGTTCATTTACAAGTAATTCTTATACAATTTCGTTTATTAATCCTTCGCGAACGATAAATCTATATATATATATATATGTGTAAGTAATTTTGAAAGTAGATTCAATCAAATAATTGAGTAAAAGAATATATATTTTATTTATTTATTTTATAATATAAATAATTCTCTAATTTAAAAATAAATCATAAAATTTATTTTTTACCAACTGTTTTGTATTAATACAGTTTCATAATTACAGTACACATAAGTATATTTAGTTTAAACAATAAGGATAGCAGATAAACGCAGATATAAGTACGGCTTAAACAATTGATATGAAGAATTTTTAATTGATACTTTTTCATGTAAACAAAGATTAAAAATCCTTACGATAGATTTATTATACATATACGTATATAGAAGTTCTTTTTTTGGAAGGTATCATTATATCCTTCAGTTACAAAAATTAATTTGTTCGCGAAGGATTAATCGCGAAGAACGATTAAATGTATTAAACTATAAAGTATATCCTAATCGTATTATATTTACAAAAATTGAACAAACACTAAAAGGAAACACACAAATGTTTCTGTCTACGAAAATATTTCGAACTATGTGACGAAGATAATCCTCTTCCAATAATAATTAAATGTTCTTTGTCGTGTAAAAACTCATTAGTTACATAATTATTATACTTTGTTCATAGATCTTTTTAGCAAAATGAAAAAAAAAAGTATAATTCTAGATATTTATTTCTTTACAAATAGTAGTATTTCTATACGAGTCTTAATAAGTATACAGAAATTGTTGATATGTATAAAAGAAAAAAACCCAATAATAATCCATACATCCTTCTCTACAAAAATGTTTATTTCATGTGATAGGAATGTTGAGAATAAAATAATAATAATAATAATAATAATAATAAATCCATTTAAAAAGATTATTACTATTAATTTCTGAAATAAATAAAAACGATGGGCAGAAACGAAGTATATTATCATTATTTGGTTTAAAATTTCATTTTATAAATACTTATTTCAATAACGATTAATGAAATTATTTTTTACAATCGTAAGAATAAAAAAGTGATTGAAAATGAATTTCTCGTTTATCGTAAAATCGTCGATTAACATGAAGATTTTCTTCAATGTTTTTTTTTTTTTTTTTTTTTTTTTTTTTTCCTCTGTTTTATTTCTCTTTCATATCTTCCTTCACTTTCCTTCCTTATCTTTTCTAGACGATGAATTATTATTGCAATTATTTTTGCAAGAGATGAATTCTTTTAGCTTTTTAATAATAGCCACGTGTCGTTTTTTCGTAACTTTAGCATAAAATCGAGCAAAAGTAGTTAATTAAACTGCGACGAGAAATTGTTCGTTTCTGGTCATTGTTATTTTGCGAATAATTTAAAAATATTTCATTAGATCGTTTGAAATAACATTAACGAATCAATTTAATCGCATGCTTCATGGAATTTTTTTCAATGCCTAACGTCAGCTTCATCTGTTGATTGATTTTCTAAGGTGCAAGGCCTAAGAAGTTCCTGTCCTCTTTCGTGAAGCCACTTGTTAGCAACTGAAATGTAAATAAATTAAATATTAATATATAAAAAATAGTAGAGAACGATTCGGATATTGATTGGTTTCATATATATATATATATATATATATATATATATAAAAGAGGATAATAAACAGAATATAATTATACCCCATTTCGATCCTGTAAGTACTGGACAAGCTGCGTGTCTTGTTTTGAAATCACCCTCTCCGTTTGGTTTCAAATTGTACCAAAATGCAGCACTACCTTTTCTAGGCCAAAGGGATATATTAATAGCCGTAAACACGGTACCACCTCCTTGCTCTACATCGCTCATCTGTAAATTAATTAACGTTATCTATATCGTAGTAAAAAACGAAATTTATTATATTTGTTATATTATTATTATTATTCATTACTTACGTAATATAAAACTGTGGCAATACGATTTCCAGTTCCTAAACTCTTGAAAGCATTAGTTTCTTCTTTCTAAATATATATAAAACACAAAAGATAATATTTATTATATAATATAATTTGAATTTATAGAATAATTTGAAGTATGAACGTACCCTAGCAAAATCAAAATGAGGCTCGTAATGACCACCGATACCATAGTTTACAACTTGTAACTCTTCTGCAGTATCCACGGTCAAACTGGTCATGTGCTCGACACGTTTGCTCACAGCTGCTACGTGCTTATGCTCGTGTTCCTGAAGCCACGCACTTTTGCTTATTCTGTAATTGGCAATTTCAAGTGCACCAGTTTTGTAATTTTGGACGGTGGCACGTTTAAACTGAAATTTAAAGATACAAATTTGTAAATACCTTACAAAGTTTCTACTAATTTATTTTCTACGAATTATTTTTCATTTATAATTACGGCTAAATCGTAAAAATTTACAAACATCATATATTATGTATACATATATACATAATATATGAATATATTATAGTATTATTATAAATATAAATACGTATATTTTATTTATCATTATTTTTTGTTTACCCTGGGTTGAGCCATTCTTTTGATCGTTTCAATTTCTTCGTCATAAATGACGTTATGATAAACGACAATCCTAGGATCAAGATAAGCTTCCTCTTCCTTGAACGGGGCTATTTTAAGGAAAGGAATTCCTCGATCGACGTAACGACACTTTAGATCCTTCTGTATTTCCGGTGGAATGGAAACTTCACCGCGGCATAACATCTCGTATCTTTCCCTCTCTGTCATTTCTTCCCAAGTTTTAACCTTTTCCTCGGTAACAGTAAAGTTCTGAAAAAGAAAAAAAAATATCGAACATATTAAATAATATTGATCTAGTTTTATGAATAAATCATAATTATTGATGATTTGTTTTAAATATGTCAAATTATTGGATTGATAAATGCAAATGGGATCTAATTTATTCGTGTTTGAATTCATTACTCGTAATAATTCTAATTAATTGATGTTTAATAACATTATTTTCTTCTAATCAAATAAATAATTAATCAGATATGGTGTGAAAATAATATATCTTTGATTGGTACACTTTAACGTTTGTAAACGTAAGAGAAAAAAAACAACTTGTTACAAATTCAAGGATTACTGGTATAAATTTACCTTCGAAAGCTTTCAAACTCATTCATGAAAAGTGGGAACATGAAAATCGAGTAAACAAGCTGTCGACCCATATAAATTTGTGGAAAAGCGTTTCAACGATGTTGGATGCTAAACTCGTATTAAGGATATAATACTTCGGTTTTGCATTGCAGCACGTTAAATGTGGGATGTTGTAAATTGAAATGTTGAGAAAAAAAAAAAAAACATTTCATCCAAGTAATTTCTTAGAATAATATATAGGTCATTGTACTTATTTTTACACTACGAAAGAATTCTATTATTCGTTCATACTGTATCGATCTAATTACAACGATTTAACAATTAAATTTATCTAATTAAACCGATTAAAATGATCTACCGTAGTATGGGATTAGAAAAATTCAATGAATATTTTTATTCACTTCATATTATATCCAAATGTTGTTTTTTGGATTTGTTTGAAAAAAACTTAGTTCAATTCTTTCACGAATAGTTTTACAATTGAAAATGGACGTTCCGTATACAATGGATTTCAAAATAACCCCACAAGTAAAAATCCATCGGATTTAAATTCGGTGAGAAGTTAAGACCGACAGGCGCAGCAATAGGACTTCCATGACCTGTCCATTTATTCGAAAATCGATTGTTCGGAAGTTGTCTAGAAATTCAGCTAAAATACTCGCTGACGGTTCGTCGTCTATTTCAAGAATTATTATAGCTATGCTAAATTTGATATGGAAAAAAAAAACAAATTAAATAGGTCATATGTTAAACAGGTCACTGAATTGTGACCCATTCAAATATTTCACAATTATTACAAAACACCATGTACATCATATCCTATTATTTTTGTTTTTTTTATTTACAATCATTTAATTCCTTCGAAATAGTTTTATTTAATTTTATAAACAAATATTTTATATCCAATTGTAACATTAAAGTATTTGTTTATAAATGTTCGATATGTTTTTATATTATTTGCAAAAAAGAAAAAAAGAATGATAACTTTTATTTATAATTTCATATGTAAACAATTTCGAATTAATTTGTTTATTCGAAGGAAATAAAATATGTTTGTGTGAAACGTACCTGTTCCGGTATTGCTGTATCATCTCGTCCATCCTCTCCACGTTTCTTTTTCATAAGATTCGCTTTACTTTGAATTTCTTTTTGATAATAAGCACGATTACCAAGTGCCCTTTCGTGAGTTGGTACTAATTCCAAAAGTTCATTTGTCATGCTGAGAGCACGTGCAACATTACCTGTAAACAATAATTATTGTTTTTAATATTATCACATATCGTTCATTTATAATGAAAAAAATTGTTGCTGATATATTTACGATTTAATTATGCTTTTTATATTATAATATTTGTGTTATTTGTTAAAAGATATTTCTCGTAATCTTTAATTATTACCTTTTAATATTTATCTTAAAAAAAAACTCATCTAAATTGTTACACTTCATCGCAATTCTATGCAAAATAACTTTACAATTAGTTTTAAGGTATACACTTATTGTTAGTTAATAGATACTAGCATTAATTTTCTACTCTTTAACAGTTATGTATTATATAATCGTATTAAGTAGAATTTCGAATATAGAAAATTCATACGTACAGGAATTAACAACCATTTTCACTCCATTAATGTTCGATTTAGATTGTATGGGAAGTGATTAAAATCAAATCTAAAGTTTTGCAATATGAACAGCGATCAATTGTGAACATCTAAAAGTCTGTTGAACTTTCAAATCGTACTTCGTTAGAACGAAGAGAATATTTTCGTTACGCGTTTAACGTTTTATTTATTCCAGTGCAAAGGGTCTTGTATGAGGGTTGAGTTGTTTTTGCGGTTCACTAGCACGGTAATTTTTCTTTCTCTCATGTGTGAATAGCAAATGATAAAAAAGAAAATAAACGTCCGAGTAATTGCTTTTTCAATTTTTTCTACTTATGAACAGTCTATTTTCTTCTTTTTTTTTTTACTATTGTTATTTGCGTACTTATTTCAGTATTTTTTTTATACTAATTACAAATTGTTAATATTGTAATTTTATCGCGTAATAAAAAAAAAAAACAAGTTGTATTAACATTTGTAAAAATGTGATAAGATTTGTTTTTTTGTTTTTTTTTTCGAAAGACAATATCCATAATAAACAATTTATTAATTAGAACGTTGAAGTACCTTGCATATACGTCGAAAAAGCCAAATATTCGAGAATGTCGGGTTTCGAAGTAGAAGTTGCATTCTCTTCTTCTTGCAGATGGTCCATAGCTTCTTGCATCCATAGTACGGTGTGATAGTAATCTTTATTATGATAAGATTGCCGTCCCAGTTCGAAACAATCACTTGCTAAAAACAAAATAACGTTGCAAAATTAATCAATACTTAAAGTTTAACGAGTGTGCGTGTTACTAATTCTTCCGACAAATTAAATTCTAATTCTAAATTTAATTTAGAATTAATCCATTTTAAAAGTAAGGTTTTATTGTCGTGAAATAGGAAAAAAAAGATAAGAACTTTTCAAAAAAGAAGGGAAAAAAGGAAACAATATTTTATTTCATTATTTGTTAAAAGAATTATTTTTTGTTTTTCCTATAATTAAGATTTATGCAATATCAATTATTTATTATTATTTATTATTAATTTTGTCGAAGTTTTTTTTTCTGGTTGGGGGAAGCTTTTCCCTTTTTTTGGTTTTCTATTATCAAGGATAATATATTAAATGAATATTTATAAATAGTTCGAGATTTTATCAGTTAACTTTTCAACATAACATAAAATATTTAGGGAGTTTTAAAACAGATAAATTCCACGTTATTAATAATTAAACGAGGGCTTGGATTTTTTTTTTTAAGTGAAAAATTTGATATTACGAATATTACACATTCTGATCAGAGTTCTTCGAATTTCTTTTTTACATTGCTTGACCCACGTCTCGAGCTTGACGAGAGGTCAGTTACCTTGTCTACGAAACTATGTTCGCTAATTAACTTTTATCTTTTTTCCCTTCTACGAATGACACTTTCTTGTCTTTGATGTTCAACGTTTCAAAACTGTCTAAATTTATAAAGTTACGTTTAACTGACTCGTAATAAAAAAAGACAACAAAAATTTTAATAATTAAACATTCTTAAAAACTTAGTTTTATATTTTTAATAGCCTATGCAATGCAATGACCCATCTCATGTAAATATTTTAATCTTAATATTGTTCAAAATGATTTTAGTAAATTTATTACAAATATTAGCATTAAAACTAACAATTATTAGAACAAACATTTCAAAATACAATTAAAAATATTTTATTAAACGAATTTTTTTTTTTCTGAATTCGACTTATGGATATTATTTAAAATTAAAAGATCATTTGTTATTACTTAAGCATTATAAAAGATCAGTCATGCTTTGAAATCTATGGCAATTGAAAACCCTTTAAACTCGTTTGCAAAAGGTAGTCATCGTTATAAGGCTAAATCAAAAGGTAAGTTGACTGGAAAGTAGTACAATGCCGATGAAGGAAACCACGTAAATTATTCATGGTAGGGTTCACTAAGTACTGTGTACTCGAAAGTCAGTGTACAAGGCTTTGCCTTTAACGTATCAGGAAGGCGTCGTATGTCCTCGTAAAAAATTTCGTCAAAGTACCTTTAGGATAATATTGCTAATAAATATGTTGAAACTTTCCAAAATAAATCTCTAAGTAGTAGTGAATATTTTTCTTTTTTTATCTAAACAATCATTAAGAGTTGTCTTATTGTTAAAATTACCATTAATATAAATATTTTTACCGATAAAAAATTTAAATTAATATTAAAAAGGATAATAAAGAAATATATTAAATTTATTAAAAAAAAAAAAAAATAAACAGAATGAAAGGGAAGAAATGTTGAAGATAATAAAGAAAACGAATGATGATACGAGAAGTGAGAAGATCGAATTATGCAGTATAACTAACCACTTAAACCGGTACTGTATTGGACTCCATTGAGAACACCTCTGGCTACTTGAGCAGTCTCGAGTTTGTAGGTATCCTGCAATCTCATAAGAGCTACTGCAGCTCCATTGAGGTCCTCGTCCGTTGGGAACTTAAGGTCGCTTCTCGAATTCGTGATGTTTGCTACGAATGACTTGCCAACGTCTTCGGTTATGAGTTCTTCAACCCTTTTCCAGTCTGTGGTTAGTCTCTTGACCAACAGGTAAGCATTTATAGGATTGGACAAGTATTGTTGTATGTTTCTTGAAGCTTGTTCGTGTTCTCTCATATAATCCTCGACGTTCCTAAAAAAAAAAAAAAAAAACACAATTTTGTCATTTATACTTACATATTTATAATTTAACAAGTTACTAATGTTATTAATAATTTATTTCATTGATTGGTGCTGGTTTATATGAATTATGATACGAAACGAGAAACAATATACTTAATCATACTAAATGATGTATATAAGATTATGAGATAACCAATTGACAACATAACTGAGAGGTTTAACTTGAAGGAAGTATTAAGTATTATTACGAAACAAATAATCTTATTAATTGAATAAACATAATTGTAATTAATCCTATTATTTATTCATGATATTAATATTCAAATATTAATATAAAAATAATTTAAAAACGAGCAAGAGGTAAAAGGGGATATTTTTTTTGTCAACAGGATGATAATACATTAACGTAAACGTTCGAGACGTTTTGAAAACGAATACGCTAGGTTTTTTAATCGTCTCTCGTAAGTGCACTTGCGGTGTATCGTGTATCGCCAACCTGACAACGAAAAAAAATAACAAATAAAGAAGAAGATAAAAAAGAACTCGCAAAAGATGAGGAAAAAAAAACAAGAAGGAAAAGAAAAAGAAAATAGTTATTCACCCCTCCTACCCTTACCATATGCCATAGTGACAAGGAATAATCGTAAAAGCCTATCACATTTCCCGTTCTCGCCTCGGTAAATTTGAGAAATTCACCATGCCACCATGCTCAAGAAGATTTTTAAACGCAGGAGAGAGCGACTTTACTGAAGTGATGTCGCAGAGACGCGTTTTAATTTAATCTCCCCCTCTTCAAGGGTAGAACGAGCCATATATATATATTCTTTCCTTCTTTTTTTTGGTCTCCTTTCCTCTTTTATCTTTCTTTCTTTCTTATTTTAGACTTCTTTTTGGTTCCTCTTTCACTATCAACCTATCCAACCACTACGTAATTCAACAGATGTTCCTCATGATTCAAACGAGTAATACGCTTTTCCTTTCTCATTTCCTTTCCCCCATTTCTTTCTCCTATCCTTCAATTCATTCTATCTTCCCTTTTTTTCTCCTTACATCCTGCTCTTTAACCTGTTAACTATGTTTGACTAGTATACGAGTTTCTCGAAGTGATAGCAAATTTTTTTTCCTTCTGTTTTTTTTTTTTTCCTTTTTCTTGTTCTTTTTCCTTTATGACGAATTTATTCTTACGTCTTACGTAGATCTCCAATTAACGTATTTTTTTTCTTTTATTATTTCAATGGAATATTATATTGAAAGATATAGAAATATTTGTATATTTATAATATTTTTTTGTTGTAGACAAGGATGAAAGGACAAAATTTTTATTGATTAATATTGTTCATGGTTTGATTCGTTAAATATTTACAAAACAAATCAATCGTGTGTGTCCCTTGTCCTATGACGAGTACGTGAGTGTGTTTGTTTGTTTCAAATAGAAGTTGGTATTTGATTGATTTCGATAGAACTTTTTGGGAAAAGTAAGAGAATAAAAATATACTTTTTTAATCATTTTGTTTTACGAAGTATTAAAAAAATTAAAAACTTTACGCGAATATTACGAAGTTCGTGTTTCTTTTCATTATATTATAACAATATAAAATAATAAGATAGCGTATTAGAATTAAATGCAATTTTAAAGCAGAACGCATATTATATTTCTTTTAGGTTTAATGTTTGTTAAACAACATTGGACGTACATTTTGAAAATAAAACTTAGCAGTTTAAAAGATTCATCATGATGACGAGCGTTTCATATTGTTCCATTTTTGTTCTTACCTCTTTTTCTCTATTTCTTTCGTTTTAAATCTCTTTCTCTGGCACTCACACACTTTTACTGCACTTGCAATAATGCGTTGTATAATGCGTTTATAATGGCGTCGAAAAAACAAAAGGATTGAATGATCTTTAAATTTATTCCACCTCTTCCGTCCTTATTTTCTGTGTCTGTTTGTATATGAATATTTCTCTACCTTTCTTTATATATATATATATATAATGTGTATTTTAATAACTGGGCTGGGTGGGGACTATACTTCTGTTTCTATTTTAAAAATAGAAATAATGGTACAGTATAATTTTAAATAATTTAACAACTTTTAGTGTCAGTTATTTCAAAAATGCATCGTTGCAGTTGCACAGTTATAATAAATATATTATTATATTTATATATATGTATTTGTAGATGTTCAAGCAAATATCTCGCAACTGGTTGAAATTTCCCAAAAAGTTTGATAAGACAAATTTGTACGTGCTTTGAAGTAAATATAATTAAATTAAATAAATTAATTAAATTATTTTGTGTCACTCGTGACTTTTTCGAGTTATTTAAAGTCAATATAGTCTTTCTTTTTTTCTTAGAAATGTATACTTATAATATATCTTTGTACATTTATACAGTTAAAGTGATTTTCAATAAAAATCATGTTATAGTAGTTATAGAAAATATATTTGAATATTTTTCTATAGAAATACAGTAGCGTAGCGTATACTTCACTGTATAACCATATATATATATATATATATTCTATTATTTGTATTTTTTTATTACACGATATTTATCATCGTCAGAGGTGTTACCAAACAAGGCTGCAAACTTTCCTATTCGTCCTGTGGTTATACCAGCGGTAACGAGAAAATGAAGTTTTTATTTATTCATGGTATCGAAAGAGCGCGGTCTCAAAGCTCGACTCTGCTTGATGATGAAAAATTCAAAAAGATGGAAAAAGAAATTGATGGAGTGGATGATAGTGAACGGAGATCATGAAAATCCAATTTTTTTTTCTTTTTAATCGATTATTTGATTTAGAAGTTTGGATAAAATAATAGGTACGGTGTATTATAAAAGATTGTATATACTCTAATTATACGAAAGTGATAAGATTTATTAAAATAACGAAAGATATCTCTCGACTGTAATATTTGATTGAAAATTAAATTTCGGATATATATTTACACATATACGTATAACAAAATATACAAAAAAATATTTATATTAAATCGTACACTTCTGGGTATCTAGTTTTGTAAATATTTGTTGGAAGTGTACCGAGAACGATTTCGACGTTGGAAATATCGTCCAGAGGTATTCTCTCGATCGGTACGATCAAAGCATTCCGGAAGGATCGTTACTACCGCCGTAAAATTGGTACGGGAGGAGAGAGGAACGTTCGAGACCGCATCTCCGATTCTCTCATGTCGACGTAATTTCGCTCTCCTCCACTCGTAGGGATATTGCACGATGTCGAGGTAGTCCTCCTTCCTCGAGGATCGAAATAGGTGAGAGAGAAATGGTGGGGACAGGGAGTGAAGGGGGGAGAATAGAAATAGAGAATGAGTGGAAAGAGAAACAAGCAAAGAAATACATAT